GAAACGCTGGTTTTCTATACTGGTTGTAGGGCTTGATCTATTCAGTATAGAAAACACCCCATTCAGTATAGGATTCCGTTTTACAAACCATCAGGTTGAGCCATGTAACTCAAAATCCTATACTGAAACGCTGGTTTTCTATACTGGTTGCAGGGCTTGATCTATTCAGTATAGAAAACACCCCATTCAGTATAGGATTCTGTGTACATGATCAGGTTCAGCCATGCAAACTACAAATCCTATACTGAAACGCTGGTTTTCTATACTGGTTGCCGGGCTTGATCTATTCAGTATAGAAAACACCCCATCCAGTATAGGATTCTGTGTACATGATCAAGTTCAGCCAGGTAACTACCGCTTGCACATGCTCTTGCTCAAAGCAAGGCTTTAATTGGTAGCATATTACAAATAACATGAACCGCCCTGAGGCTATACTGCAACCACGCTTTTCTACAGGGAATGAGCATGAGCTGATATTCAGTATATAAAACCATCGAATCAATATATAGAATTCCATTGCAGGGCAGCTTCGTCGATCGCTTTTGTGGTCAATATTTCAAGCCTTGGGTTTCAGTGTCATTTAGCTTCCTTACAAAACGTGATTGCGCCTTGCTGGCGATGGTTTTGTGCGGGTTGGCCGACTTGCTCGTTGGGCATGGAGTCTTGCATCGCTCGCTATGGCAGTGTGTCTTGGCACACATTCCGGAATGTGGGTCCATCTTGAGAGTAACCTTCTGAGTCTTCAAGGTTTGTAGATCATAATTTCAAGGTCGCCGCTGATGGTCACTACAGGTGTTATTCCCATGCATGGTTTTGAGATGAGGTCCGTGAGGCAACGAAAAGGTGTAACCAGTGCCTCTTCCTCAAGCATGCAGATGACTGGAAGCAACAATGCATATTCCAGGACAGTGACGGCCACTTCCGTACTTACCTTCAATGTTCACCGCCTGGTGAACCCTGGGGCCTGGGTTGTTTGCTCTGCTCTTCATATGCTAAACACTGTCCCGAACGAGTAGGTGGGCGTCAGACTCCTTTCGTGAGATTTACTAAAGGCCAGAGCGGTCGCCTACAGCTGGAGGACTTGAAGCGACACGGGAATGTGTCCAAGGCATCATACACCTGCGGCCTGCACCGCGAGGCCTTGCAGTGGTGGCTCGGCCGAAATCTGCCAGAACAGCCTCTTGACGCTGCCCCCGATGCCGACATCACTGCTCCTGTCACAGCAGCTCAATGCCTTACCAGCCTGGAAGTTCTGTGGTCGCCCCTGGGTTCGCAATCGCTGGAGTATGCCAGGAAGTGCAAAGCCTTGAACAGGACCACGACAGGCTGCATTTCAACGGCACTGTACTTTCTTGATAGCCCGAGCAGTCATTGCGGCTGCATTCCATTAGGTAGCTGTTTTTGTCTGTCTTGCTCTTTATAATCTAGAGACCAAGCAGGACCGATCCAAACAATGTTCCTGCCGCCCGGAGCGACAAGGGCAGTCACTTCAAAATCATTGGGGCCTACGCTTCGGTGCTTTTTGCCCAAAACCGCAAATTCTTCAAACAACAGATTCTTTCCATTGGTATCTCACAGGACTGGCTTTTTAAGTTGACATCCTTGGAAATCTGAGGTTCCGATTGAGGCTGTTGTTTGAAAGCTTCACTAATGGCAGGACGTCCGTGGATCGGTGGAGTTCATCCGGGCCCGAGCTGTGGCCAAGAGCATGGATGTTTGCAACTTCGTCCTGGATGTTCATGATATCGATGGCAGCAAAGTGACTTGCCTGCCTGTTTTCGCGGCAACTCTAGTCTTCATACCGGCCAACGGACACAACCAGCTCAGGCTTCGCTGGACAAGGCGAGACAAATTTGGGAGTCTGTCGAAAGCTTCGCAAAAGGGGATGAGAAGATTCTTTCGGATTTCCGCAAATCTGTCAAGGCTGGGCGGTTGTGTGTGTGTGTGTGGCTTTTTCAACACTCTCCCAGCAGTGCGTGCCCTTTCCTTCAGGTTTTTACTTCAGACGGAGAAAGCGCTGAGCCGTTGAGTGCTCGTTTCTGCAAGGACCGACAGGTTTGCAAGCGTCCGTTGACGTGCCGCATGGATAGTGTCTGTATGTGTGTTGGCACTTGTACTTCACATATCTAGATATGTATACCTCCACCTACACACAGGTACATACATACATACAATACTGTGTTGTAAGAATAATACAATACACATTCTCTGGATTTGCTTCTCGCTCGCTCACTCTCTCGCACTCTTTCTCGCTCTCTCCCTCTCCGTGTCCCTCTTTGTCCCTGTCCGAGCTGTGGTTGTCTGCCTACTTCGGAGACTGTTGCAGGAGATGGGCCATTTACAAGGCCTGCGTTGCGTTTTGAGATGTGCTCTGCACAAGGGGCAGCGCTCCTTGGAGAGTGCCATAGCAGCAGACGAGCGGTGCAACATGCTTATAGACGGGTTGATCACAGCCTATTCAACTTCATCCACTGATCATGGTTCCCTTGCTCGTGGGTTGAGAAACACAAAGCTGAAGAGCATGTTTGCAGAGCATTGCCAGAAAGATATAGATGCCCTAGACGGCCACCTGACGAAGCTCACTGGCTTCCGCTTTGCGGCACAACGCTTTGACTCTATATTGGAGGTTGCCAGACTGATTGTGTTGCACATCCGTCCAATCGTGCATTCTTTGGTGCATCTCAAGCTGTCGGACGCCAAATATGAGAAATGGGGCTCGAAAATGTTATCCTTCTTTACTGCCCCGAACCTACTTCTGCTCAGTCTCATTGCGGAACTCGCAGCGAGCTGCAGTCACTACCACCACCGCTTCGATAACAAGGGGGCCAAGGCCACCATTATTTGTAAAATGGGGTATTGGTACGGAACCTTGAAAGCAGAACTTGACCGGCTGTTCACCTTCAATGACGGGTCTCCTCCCCTGGTTTTGTCTCCGGATTTCACAGCGGGCTTCGTGCAGACAATGCGCACTTCCTACGATCTTCTTGTGACGGAAACAATTATTGCAGGTGGCAAGCTACAATTTTACAGAAAAGGCCTCGAAAGCGAGGCATCTCTTCGAAAGCAGGTGGCGGCTGAGTTAGGGAGCATACAGAACGTCATGCGTCTCTACTTACAGTCGGTGGACCCCGGGGACCATGCCATTGCATCAAGCTTACGACCTTTTGATCTTGAGTACTGGCAGCAGCATTTCTCGGACGAGACATTGTGGCATTCCTGTCTTGTATAATTTCTTTGAGTGATTTCCTAGATCTATACATATGATGCTGGTCTGTGCTTAGGCTTTGACCCATCCGACCCAGGTCGTCAACCTTCGAGCCGCTGGCACAAATCATCGGCCATCCAGCGAGGGCCCGATTTGTTAATGTCATGTTGTCCGTGAACGTCAGTTTTTTCTTCGGCAGTCATGTCAGCGAACCACTGCCGAGGCTGCAGACCTGGCTTCCCAATACCTCGCGTGTCGGCCCACGGCTTTGCAACTTCAGAGGCTCCTTCTCCTGTGCTCGCTCTCGCCTGACTATTTGTTTGAGGGGCTAAGTCGTGTTTGATTCCCAATGTGTGCAGGCAGGGTGTCTCCGACACTGCCTGGCTGGAAGCGGCCAAGCACTGGGGAGATCGTTTGGTTGTCTTGCGGGATGCCGTGCCTAGTCTACTTTATGACAAATGACATTGTGTACACCACATGGAGCTTTCCATGCAATGTCAGAAAGAGGGAAGCTCAGGTGTCCTTCATGAGCTCCGTTTTTGCTTCGACAGCAGAAATAGAACAGCAGTTCAGCTTGCTGCAGATGCTGGCTTCTGGTCGCAAGTCTCACACGACGTTGGTTCATTTGCGAGATGCGATGAAGGTCCGACTGGACGGCAGCTCGGCTATCGCTACTGCTGTTGTTCGTTGCGCGTACATTTAGCACAGATCCCAGACCTCCTGTGCGTCATCGCTCAGGAATGCGACCGGAGCACTTCGTCCAATGCCACCGTGCAAAGCATACTGAAAGCTGCCGGTATGTCCCGAGTGAGGACTGCTGCCGCACCCAGCGTGAATTCCTGCAAAAACACGGTGCAGGGAAAAACTGCATGAAGAACCCTGATTTGCCTCGAAGGCAGCTGGAGCCGAAGGCTGTGAAAGGTGTTACCTTGGCCGGCCAGAAACGCAAGAGGCAAGATCAGCTGAACAATCTCGTTCCCGCCCAGGATGCCGAAGATGCAGCTGAGCTTGAAGCCGTCACTCAGGAGGCTGCTTTGTCCCGCCGCGGCAAGGATTACGAGAAGTTGTGCAAGACATTGCAGGAGAACTCCAAGAGGCATCTAGCCGAATGCGGTGTTGTGTTTTCAGAATCAGAACAGTAGGCGTCCGGGTTTTATTCCTGTCGATATACTTCTCTTGCTCGTGTGCAAAATTTCAGTGGGTTCCATGAGGCAGAAGAAGCGCTTTGCAGAGGATGCTCTTCCGCAGGGCAGCTGCCGCCCAGACGTCCGCAAGTTGCATCAGCACGAGAAGAAACAGAAAGACTTGTTGGAGAATGTTCGCCGCTTGGATCGTCGTGAGCTCCATTGCGTTTCTTTGGCCCAGCCTGAACTCTTGAAGTGCAACACCGTTGCAGTGGCGCTTACAGCAGATGATGAGAGAGATTTGATGGGGTTGGGTTTGAAGACGGTGCTGTGGCAGAACACCACCCAGCAGTTCGAAAGTCTTATGCAAGTGAGAAACCTGGTTTGGTTCTGCAGGGATCCAGATGTGGAGATGCAGTGTTTTTTGGCATCTGGAGCAGGTGCCGTCTCTGGATTTGTCATGACGACACGTCTTTTGGGGGGATTCCTTGGAACGGCTGAGTGGTTCAAGGTGTGCCAAGCCCACTCGCGTATCGTTCAGCCACCGGCTCGTGTCAAGCCTGCTCTGTGGGAGCGTACTGAAGTATGTTTCCATAAATCGCTGGAAGCAGACCCGTCGCTGCCGGATGCAGCGATTGCCATTGGAAAGGCCGTAGAAGCAAGTGTGAAAGTTCGGAATCCTTCATTGTGGCAGCTTCGTAGCGATTGGAAGCAGGTTACTGGCAAAGAGGCTTTCATACTGATCTCAGCGTCTGTGAGCGATTGTGAAAGTAAGCTTGAGAAGCTCAAGCAAAAGGCCGTGCAGGAGGGCAAGTTAGGCAGTGCCTGCAGCTTTGTGCAGCTTCTGCGTGCCATCTCGGTCTGGGTTTAAGCACAGGCACCAAGGCTGGAAACAGGAGAGCATCGTGAGACAGTCAGTTGCAGTGCTGAAAAAGTTATAATGTTTCAGCCTGGTGTCTGTAGCGGGACCACTCCACTGTTCAGTGGGCTGATCGCGGGGGTGCGAGAAAAAGGGCCTGTGTCTTGCCAATGGTTCAAGACAAAGTGCGATACAACAGTACTATGTTCGTGGGTTCGTTTTTCTGTTTACTGGGCTGAATCTTCTTTGGCTTATGGCAGTTTCTGGCACAGCTGGAAGAAGGGTTCAACGCTTGGCAATGCACAGTGTAGGGTCGCTCCAGTGTTCGTTTGCTGCCATTATTGATATTTCCCCAATTCAGAGCCTCCCTGATGTTCTGTAGCTGCCTGCAGCTCTGAACAAGAGCTGGCCCAGAAGATGGTTTGCAATAGAAGAAAAGGGAGGAGGGTGCAACGCCGGATTAGGAGTCAGGTTCCGTGAAACAGACATTGTAGGCTGAGCAATCAACATAAAAACGTTTATGACGCCCGCCAGGCCGGCGACGCTTGGTTTTCCCTGGCAGCGGCCACCTCCGGAGCCGTGCACGCGCGGGGCTGGACCCGGTCTCAGGGCACACATGTTTGGCATTGGGTTTCTTGTGGCGGAAATCAATATACACAAATATACACACATGCCTCCCTTTTTGTTCTTGCTCTTTCTCCTTTTCGACAACAGTTCAGTGTGTTTATTCGCACGTTGGGGTCAGCGGTCCAAATGGGCATTTTTGCTCGCAACAGAGGTCTGGGATTGCTATGTGTCATAAGGAGCGCACTACACGTAGTGCGCTCGCTGTGGCTTCTCGGCCGAGCAGAGCAGGTTAAGGAGCACATTTTTTTATATAAAAACTATGCCTTGACAGGTCACGGACCGGCCGCCTGAAAGCTGCGGGTTCCCATTCAAGAGCCTGGACCTAAGGAAATTCTACGCTCGCTGTACAGGTCTGGGATTGCTATGTGTCATACCGAACGCACTACACGTAGTGTGCTCGCTGTGGCACTTCTGAATTCCTAGTCAGTATAAGGAGCAAAAACTGGCATTTTGCCATTTGCATGATGGACGCCTTTGACGACCTATTGACTGCGGGCACAAGAGGCTCCAGGTCCTTTCGTAGTGCACTGCACGCAGCCATGGGGGGGAAACGAAAGTCGGATTCAGCCAAGACAGGCGCTGCTGACATGAGCAGCAAGCCTAAGAAGGCTTGCACTGACGTGGATCCCAAGGTGACGGTGTCACCAGGAGACGGGCCTCTGGTGGCTTTGGCAAAAGTGTTGATGGAGACACTTGAGAAAGACATCGCCAACGAGATCATTTCCCCGATGATGCCGGAGTTTGAATACTGGGATGCGCAGGCTTACCTCCCCGAGTCCAAAGGCGGTATCCTGCCGCTCTCTGCGGAGCTGTATCAGGAGAAGATCCGCGAGGATAAGGAGCTGACGTGCATGGTGACCTTGCGAGAAGTGGGCCTCGCACCCGGGTGTAATCAGGTTGGTGTTTGCTGGCGACGGCTCGCATTTCTGTTTAAGTTATTCAGATTTCTAGGATCCTAAGCAACGGTGTCGGAAAGCAAGGCAATAGAGCACTTGGACATGGTGCCTATGTTCGGCTCCATCGTGAAGTTCCATGACCGATTCCTGGACCAGGGGCCGGAGACTTTGCGCAAGTTCACTACACTTATCAGTGTGCGTAGTGAAAGCCTGCCGTTTCCGAATGAGTATGAGATCCTCAACGGCAGCATTTGGCGGTTCGCTTTCCTGTACGGCTATGCACGCAGCTTGGAGCAGCATGATCTCCGGGACCGTTTTCGTAAAGCTGCTCGTTCCTTCCCTGTGACGTTTCAGTGGGCGACGGACAGCAGCCTCATCCGCCAGCGAGTGCAAGAAGACCAAAACTTGAAGAGCAAGCGCGAGCTTGCAGGGCTCCCCATCCATCGATTGAGCAAGGTCGTTGTGCATGTCCAGAAGGAGCTCAAGGATGGGGGCAAGGGCTTCAAAGCCGAGGACGTGTACAAGTACTTGAACGAAGTCAAGTGGTCTGCGGCCGATGGCAAGGAATTCTCCAAAACGGGTGTGGCGAGTGCTATCAAGATCCAAGGTAGGTTGACACAGAGGGCCGTGCGATTGCTTGATTGCATGGAAGCCTACCTGGGAAGCGGGAAGCACCCGTTCGGTTCTCTGAGCGCCCTGGACGTTGTCTGCCAGAAGACAAATGTTCGTGACGGCGAGCTTTCGGGGAAGCAGCTAGACAGCGTGACATCCTGGTAATTCTAAGCAGTCTCCGAAGTCACATTTGCTGTGTGCTCATTGTGCGGATAAAGTAGTTGCACACAGAGGCTCTTGGAGTTCTGCCTGGAAGCGATCTTCGTGCGGCTGCTACGTGGCAACACGAAAAGCCAGGCTCCTGAAAGTAGCAAAACATGGGATGGACTGTTTCAACTCAGTGATTTTTGCAGGATGGCGGCCGGGAGTTGGTGCGAACGCAGTGCGTGATTTTCCTCGGCATCCGCAGGATTTTGTACTTCTTGCGCGAGAAGATGGGGTTTCAGTGCTGGCTTTCTTTCCTGGGCTTCCATGAGTCGCAGCCAAAAGGCATCTTGCTGACCCAATCCAGGGACATCCTTTCTGAAGAGGGATTGCCAGCTGCGATGGTCGGCTCGGAGAGGCTGTGCCGCGAATCGCTGGCAATGTTGATTGACGGAGTCGCGGACCAATCCTTGGAGGAGGCGCTCCAGGGCAATCCCAACATGAATGGAGAGGACCTGTTGTCCACGGCGGCGCTAGAGAGCTGTTTCATGTGGAAGAGAATCAAGGAGCTCCGCGCCGGAGAAGAGCGTGAGCGCTTGGTGGCAGAAGCAAGTGCCGCGGCACCTGCTGCCCCTGTGGACCCGGCACCGCCGGCACCCGTCCCCGCCCAGGTGGATGTCCAGAGTGGAGCCCGCAGCTCCACTGCAGAGGAGGTGCCAGTCGCGGACGAGGAGGCAGCGGAGGTCCCGAAGGCATCCTGGAAAAAGTATTTCCCGGATCTCATCCTTCCGGAGTCCATGGCAGAGACACTGTCGGGGAAGGACGAGGCGGTGCTTGCGAGGCTCCACCAGTTCGCCTGTGCACGCTTTCTGGCAGCAGGCAGAAATAGGGATGAGGCTAATCAATCATTTCTGAAGAGCATGAAGATGAGAGTCCGAGCGGCTGTGCTTGCTGAAGGGCGTGGGAGTTGTGAGTGAAGTGAAGCTGACAATCTCAGGCGTGCAGAGCACCGTGACCTTTGCCGAGACGCCGAAAACAGACCTCCAGCACTTCTTGCAGCAACACCCGCTTTTGTCGTCCCGCACTTCAGATGACCGAATTGTCTATGTGTATGACTGCAAAGCCCACAATGACAAGTTTTCCGAGCGATACCGCACACGGCCGTTTTTCTTGCTCCCGCCGCTAGACGAAAATCACTTGGCCTCATGCTTGGGTGCCACTGCTCCAAAGGACAGGGACATGTTCATTATCCTCGATGGTCGCCGCCTAGAGGCGGCGAGCAAGTTCAGGAAAATCGTGAACAAGAGTGGCACTGGCAACTGGAAGGGGGCGCCAAGCTTCTTGTTCAGACTCGTGTACGACAACCAAGAATTTAGTACCGGAGGCTATGCGTCCACAAGGACAAGGACTTCCGTGGGCGCTCTGCCAGAACCCATCGAAACGGTGACGGTGCTTCATCCCAAGACGTGTGAATTGGAGAACCGGGAAAGACGATTCCTAAATCTACCGGGAAGCTCTTTCACCCGGGCCTTGACCGGTATCCGGCTCCTGAGCTCCGAAGATCATAGCCTCCGCATACCGTGCTCAGTTATGACAGAGGTGCAGAAGGACCAAGTCGTGCAGGGCGACGCCAGTGCTGGGGGCCAAGGTGCAGCAGGTCCTGACCCAGATTCTGGGTCGGGTGCAGACGGCCTCGTGTTCTATCCATGGACAAGCGAGGAAGGCGTATTCTTGGAATTCTTGAATTTCTGGGCGCATGAGAAGGCCGTTGTTGTCAGCTTCACGGCTGGATGTGGCCAGCTGGAGTTGGCATGTGTGCGTCAGGGAACACAGTGCCTCACACTGACATTGAATGCGAAGCATCGGGAGGCCAGGCCTGTTCGTTGGGTGTATAGATAAGTAGGGTTGCAACAATTCAATTGTGCCCAGCCAGAGGTGATTCTGCAACGACTGGTCTTGCTGGTCATGCTGCACACGTTGCGAGGGTCGACGGACTTTGTCGGCAATCGACGAGTCTTGGAGGAGAGACCTTCAGGGGGGTCGCAGGACATGGCTGTGGATGCAGCTGCGGCCCCAGCTGCGCCTCCAGCAGCTCCCGTGGCAGGGCAGAGCCAGACCCAGGCTGGTGCAGAGTCTGATGGGAGCGGTTCCGGAGATGACAGTGACTCTGCGTAAGCGACTGAAAGACCTGGATGGCACGGCTGATGCTGGGCCAGCAGTTTTGCCTACTTTTGCAGCCGAAGTTCCATGCTCGGAATCGTGTTCGACCATCGTTTGACCCTAGTTGCGAAAGACCGAGACATGCTGCTTATGGAGCGGAACGGAAGCTTTTCCAGCTGAAACCTGGTGTGTAGACTTCAGACCATTCGGTGACTTAACAATCGTAGTCATAGCTTGACCCTCGTGGTTGCATGAATGCCTCCAAGTCACTCAACTGTCCGGATGGTCGTGTGAGCACCGGCAAGCGGCAGCTGTTTTGCATTCCCGTGGAAGAAAGTCTGCGGTTTTTAAGCGACCTTCTGTGCCCCGCACACGCGTTGAAAGGCCAACTGAACAAAACTGTCCGGGCCGTGACTGTGGTGCAGCAAGAGCGAGGCAGATGTCGGATTCTTAGTTCGGGCTGCATACAGGAGTGGCGGCGGATGCCAGCTTGTTGCAGTCGTTTGCAGGTGGCACGGTGTCTGCGGCTGTAAAGGATTCCTGGTCGGCCATTCGAGCAACTCGGGCGCCTCGCAGTGTCTGTGGCTGTAAAGGTTTTGGACATAGGACTGCCATGGCGACCGCGTACTATGCTGTGCCTCTTGTGCAGTGGAACGGGCTGCTGGAGCAATTGAAGCACTCCTCCGCGGAGCAGGTGGACATCTTGCCCGACAAAAATTTCAGCCTGGTCTTGGCCCCGACCCGATGGGAAGCCGCCTATGTGCCTGGTGCGATGTTATTTCAAGGGTTATGCCAAGAATGATTAAATGTTTCAACTAGAGGGCCATGATCTAGCTATTGGTGCGAGCTCTCCCAGAGAGGGAAGGAGGACACTGTCAGCTTTTCCAGAACCACTTCGCAAGTCCACTTCTTGGCTTTCTGCAGACCCAGGAAAGCACCTTCCAACGTCTCATCCTGAACCCCGAAGTGCAATCCCATGCAGCTCAAGTGGTCTGCCTTGACTTCAAACGGGTGGCCCAGCGCTTCCGGCTGCACCGTCAAGACCAGCATCGCAAAGTCGATCTCTTTGAGCTGCCGGCCGAGTTTCACGAGTCTCAGACATGCCGCCTCAGACGAGTGTGTCTCAGACGATGTTGACTCTCTACATCGTCCTGCAGAATGGACACCTTGTGCAGTCCTGGAGCTGCTTTGCGTCCGGAGCCTGCGACTGCTGGGCCGCCTCATGACGTGCCAGCCGATCCTTGGCGTCAGCCAGCTCGTTGCCCAGTCTCGCAACTTCATCCTGCAATGCCTTCGTCTTATTCTTGGCTCGCTCGGCCAAGCTGGGCGCCAGGATGCTCTCCAAGCTGGTCTTCGCAACTTCGATCTTCAGATCCCACACCGCAGTGTGAACACGGCGGAACGCCGCCAGGCGCGCCAGATCTTGTGCGATGTGCGTCTGGCTGACTTCAACGACTGGGTTGTTATTCTTGGCCACGAAGAAGTCCAAGTAGTGGGTGGAGTAGCTGGTCAGGATGACGGGCGCCTGTGCACTGCTGCTGTGGTGATAGCATAAAATTAAAAAAACCTTTGAACTCCAGCACTTTTGGGAGGCAACCGTGCGCCTGCTCAGGAAGAGGCACCATGCTGGGGTCCAGAAAGATTTCGAGGATGGTATGGTTCTTTTTGCAATCCTCCGATTGCAAGCCCGCCAGCAGACATGCGTCCTTCATCGACTTGAACAGGAACAAATCTGCAGCCGGATCCAACCCGACTTTCACCCTTCTGGGCAAGTTCATGAACTGCATCATGTACTGGGCGATAGAACCATTCGCCACCTTGGAACTTCGTGCAATCCCTCATGCGATTCGTCGAATGGAACTCTGACTTGCGATGTTACACAACTGAGCCCGAGCACCAGCGAGTCGCGTCCGCGGGTGGCCTAGGGCCCATCCGCTTTTTGTCGCCTGGCTGTGGCCTGCAGTTCAAGAGACTTCAGAGCTGTTGCACTTAGGCGTTCGACTTGTAACATTTGGGACATGGCCAGGCTCCTCGTCGCGTTTTGCCGAGTGACATAGATGCTCGCAGCAGGGTAGCTGCGGCCACATCGTCGTTGCCGGCACATGCCAGCAGATCCAAATGTGCCGGTGAAAATATTTGCAGCCCTGCTGGCGTGTGTTCAGTCAATGGGAGAAATAGCCCAGCCATGCTCTTACTGTCTTACTCAGAGCCTGAAGCTTGTCAACCTCTTGCTTCATTCTGTACCCTGTGTTCTTGCAACCAAGCAGCAGAAAGGACTCAATTCATTGTTGTACACTGCCGGCACTTGTGTCGACCACGATGCTCAATGCAGCTGCCAAGTTTCTGTTGTGACCCTCGTGTGTGCTGCAATCTGGCAGCCGGCGCAGTGCCATTTTGATCGCGACTCCATGCAGTGACAGCATCATACAACATATGTTAACAGTTAACATTGCACTCTTGAGTTGGAGCTGTGTTGCGGCGCTGTGCAACTTATGAAGCAGCCTGGCGTGGCATGGTTAGAGAGAATCAGGTGAAAAGGTTCGGGTTGAAGCTGAGCAGTCGTCGGCCCCTTTCACTTCCTCATGGTTCGCAGGTTTCTCCGGTCACATCTCGGCGGCCGCATCCTGCAGGCAGGGTAAATACACCTTTGCACAAGGACTGCAAGAGCTTCTTCTCCTTGTGCCAAGTTTAGCTTGTTGCTGCAGCCATTTTCAAGCTCGGGCTGGAGGTCAGACATCCTCTGGCCATGAAGCGGCCAGCATCGAGAAACAACAACCCTCTGCGGCCAAAGCTCGAGAAAAAGTTGAGCAAAGCAAAGGTTGCACGGTGCATCCGAGACACTGTGGGCAAGAAGCGGACCTGCTATGCACTTTTCATTGAAGAGCAATATCCCATCATCTCCCAGGAGTTGACGGATGAAGGTTTTGTTCCCGAAGACGGCCGCATCCAACGAATGGTCATGCACCGCATTTCAGTTAGATGGAATGGCCTTTCAGAGAAAGAGAAAGACACGTATAGGAATGCCGCCAAGGAGGAGTTCGCGGCTCAACAGTCCGCTCTCAGCCAAGTGTTGCATGACAATGATGAGGCGCCTGCGGAAGGGCCGCTGGCGGATGCTCCAGCAGTTGTGGGAAACTGGACTTTCCTTAATCCAAATGAACCGTTGTGGACAGGTGGCAACTGCAACGCGTATTTGGTACAGCACAAAAAGCTGCTCTATCGAATGATGGCCACTCTTTTTCACGACGCCCATGACTACAACCAGGAGCTCAGAGTGCTGAATGAGGTGAATAAGCAAGAGTCGGCAAGCTTCCATCATGAGGTTTTCCTGGTAGCCATGGAAAGCACGGTTTCGACATCTCCTGTGCGGTGCCGGGTTCAGCAGTGGCTGCCGATGCTGGATGAGATTGCCGAGCCAATGCGGGGATCCAAATTGGCTGCCGTGGCGTCTCAGCTAGCTCGAGCTTTGACCCATTTGCATGGCCTCGGTGTCCTACACCTGGACGTTCGAGGGAAGTCTGTTTTCTGGAGCGAGCGGGAGTGCCTCGCGAAGCTTGGCAGATTTCACCGCTCCCGAGCCATGGACAGTCAGGAGCCCTTGCTGTACCCTCCTTATGCTGCGTCGCACCGCCCGCCAGAATGCTTGCTTTGTCCTCTGGCTAAGATGCCAATCAATCCAAAGACAGAGTCATGGGCCTTTGGTGTAACTCTTGTCAAATTGGCGACGGGAACGCCTCCTTTCAAGGAAGTCACGGAGACACTGAATTTCAACTGGGCGGAAGAGTCAATGACCAAGAATGAAGCCTTCGAAAGCCTTCCAGATCCAGTGCGGCTTGTCATGTTGCGTCTCCTCGCTGCAGAAGACGATCGTATGCAATTGAATGATTTCTTGCAAAGTGATCTCCTGACAAGATTGTCAGTAGAGTGGTGATTTGTACAGTCTTTTGGCCAAGAGGGCAGTCAAGAGTGCGGAGCGACGGCACGTGCGCAAATGCAACCAGTCCTGTGCTGCGTTCTGACATGTGTGTTTGCGCGCAACATGAAGTTTTACCCGTTATCACTGCCGTGAACTAATGATCATGTCCTGCCCGGGCACTCTTCTGCTGCGGAGGTGATCATTGATCAGCCGAAGTTGCTGCAGAAGGCACAGCACGCTGTGATCGACATTCGAACACTTGCCACCTGTCTTCCGTGTCTCGACTTGCGGCAAAGTTCACACGGCTACGGCTGATGCTGTTGCATTGCCTGTGTTTCGGCATGGAAGGGATTCATCCTTGTATTGTCCTAGCCGTTGCTTATATAATAGGCTAATGCTGAATCAGGATGCAGAGTCGAAGAAGCAGAAGACTTTAATAGCTAAGACAAGCTGGGCTCGAATGGGGCTTTTGGGGTCTTGGGTTTTCGGCAACCACAAGCGCTCCACAATCTGAATCGCTGTAATACCCTCCCTACTGGCCTCTCAGATGAAGGGTCCCGCTTGAGGCTTGGGGTCAGTAAATGAAGTGCGTTCAATTCCTATCCCTCAAGGCCTCCACCGCCAGCTCGTGTTTCCATACCTTGCCAACAGCTCGGCGTTTCCTGTGGATTCTCAGAACAAACAGACGAACGAAGGCAATGGTTCTTTGCTCCCATCAAACTATGAGCTCATCATCGAAAGGGCGGTGTTGGACCTAATTTTAAAATAGCCAAGCTCCCCAACATGATCCTAGTGGCCGACCTGGCCAATCCTGCTGCAGGCAGGAGAAGAACCAACTTAAGCAACATGCACGTGGGGCTGAAAACGCCCAGCAAACTTCAAGACGTTGCCTCTGTTCGGTTCCTACGTCCATGCAGCTGTACATGACTGGAATGCACACATCAGACATTATTGGCGACGGCTTGTGGCCAAACGATGCCAGGCTCGGCATTCTGCTGTTTTCGGCACAACCTCTCCGACGACCCATGCAGCCCCCCACTCCCCGCCTCCAAGTAGTTCTCGTTCGAGCTGCGGCAAGGCCCTTATTCAAAGGCGGCGGCGTTGCGCAATGCCTCCCTGCAAGGGTGAAGAGGTTCACAGAAGTTGTCGACGTCCGCAAGATTGGTTCAGTCATGGCAGCATTGCAGTTTGAACTGTAGGACAGTAGCTGGCATGTTGCTATGAGGACTTGCTTCCGACGACTTGCTATCTAGTATTATCTAATAGTGTGAAGTTGAGCCTGTTCTCTAGTTAGATGAAGCAGCTTATTGCAGCATCGAGGCAAGCAGCTTCTATCGCGAGGCAGCAATTACAATGAATAGCATGTTTGAGAACAACGATGGAGCTGCTTGACCGGGAGCCACATGTGCGCCATTTTGGGATCCGGGTCCGTGATGGCCACGGGGGGATGAAACGAACATCTCGTAATGTACCACCTTAGGTGCCCGACAAGTGGCAACAAAATCTTGATGATGCACCCGAAGTTGCCGCCCTGTTCACAAACCCGGATTGAGAACCAAAACAAAGTGGGCTTGATCTGCACGGGGTTTGGGACCGACGGTGCGAACCATCGACCTGATGACAAGCCAAGACCACTTGAGCCCTAAATCCGATAGGCTTTACCCCAACTCCCAAACCCAAACCTTGACTTCTGAAACCCTGCAAGCTGTCCCCTCAATCCGGAACCCTATCTAAATTTGTAGAATACCCTGGCCCTACTCAATCCGTAAGCCTGAAAAGCCGAAATGTCGTGCCATTCACCGACGAGGCTGGTTGCTGCCCAATGCTGCTCAGACCGCCGTCGCCGCCAAAGGGATTGGTTTAGTACTTTATAGTGCCTGCATCTAGTTTAGAATTAGTATTTCTGCTAAAAACGGGGACCACAACCACTGCTTTTATGACAAACGAAGCATCACACACGCAAGAATTATCTGTTGCCAGCAGATTTGTGTCAAAAAGTGTACACTTTGCCAGCCCCTACAAACCCAGCCAGTAAGTTAAGTTCTGGTAGAACTCATGCTGCTGACCACTGTCAAACAAGGTCACACTGGGTTCTTATTCTTATTGCTGTCCTTCTTGTTTTGTTTCACCGACAGCAAGGTTTAGAGAGATGATGCCTGTAGGTGGAAGTTTTGAGTGCTTTGACTTTTCGATAAAAATGTTTGAGTCTTGCCAAGTTTAGGGCTTCGGCGTGGGGCACAGTTGTCTAGACATGTGATGTTTGGGGCTTCAAGGTTTTATTCCCTAAACCCCTAAACGCCCTAAACCCTTATAACCAATCGATGTTTTGGGGGTGATCTTTCCAACTCTCGGAGTCCTGTTTTATCTTAGGTTTTGTCGAGCCTTTGTAACTGCTATCAGGCTCCAGGTATCAGCCACGTTTTCTGGTTCGGAGTCGGAGAAGAAAGCCGTGGGGCTTGCCGTTCTCTCCTGCCCTTTAGTCTTCGGGCTTTGCTGCCTTGCAATCCTGACACTTTCGTCTCGAAAATATTGAATATGCATGGGTGCTCACAGAACTGACCCGTAACCCCAACCGACGAGATCCATTTCGCAGTTTCCGGGGATTGCGGCCGAAAGTATGTTTCGAATAATGTCGTTTCTTGCGGTGGTGCCGAGGTCATGCTGCGGACCTTAGACCTCCGAGGCAACAACATCAGCACCTTGGCCTCAAGAGCAACCCTTCCACCAGCTGTGACGGGACCCGCTGTGACTGCCGATTGACAGCAGTGAAGATGACCCTGGGGATGGTCTTTGTGACGATGATGACGATGAGGCAGGTTTGATCTATCATGATGCTGCTGCCATGGGCCGCGCAACTGCCACAACAACACTCTGTCGCAAGCAGTGCTGCCGAAATTGATACGCGCAATGATTCAGGGATGCGTCGTGGAATTGACACAGATATGTGCAAAGCAGGAGTGGCCGTTGTGATTCTAGCCGCAGTAGTAGCAGAAGCAGCACGAGCGGCAGCAATAGCAGTAGTAGTAGTAGTCATAAGCAGCACTAGTTATCATCATTATTATTATTATGATTATCAGTAGTAGTAGTCGTCGTCGTCGTAGTAGTAGTAGTAGGAGTAGTAGTAGTAGTAGCAGTAGTAGCAGTAGTAGCAGTAGCAGCAGCAGCAGTAGTAGTGGCAGTAGCAGCAGTAGTAGCAGTAGCAGCAGCAGTAGTACTAGTAGCAGTAGTAGTAGTAGTAGTAGTAGTTGTAGTAGTAGTAGTAGTAGTAGGAGGAGTAGTAGTAGTAGTAGTAATAGTAATCGTAGTAGTAGTAGTAGTAGTAGCAGCAACAGCAGCAGCAGCACTAGCAGGAGGAGGAGGAGACGGAGGATTAGGAGGAGGATTAGCCGAAGTAGTGCAACAGTTATTGGTTGCAGCAGTGGCCGTCGTCGCCGCGGAAGTATCAGCACTAGCTACAGCAGTGCCAGCAGCAGCAGCAGCGTCGGTTTTTTGCAAACGCAGACCGCGCGACCGATGTAATTTTTGTCCTGAAGATGGTTGCGAGAAGAAGAAGATTATGAAGATGACTCTAATTTAGACCACGAATGTAACTTACAAGAACCTCGCTTGCTTGGACGAGAGCGAGTGCTAAAAAACTCACAAGAGAAAAACACCGACAGGTCGTGAACTTAAAAGCAAGGGAGTGGAGGAAGAAGGAACCGAGCAGCAGACAGAGCCCGTGAACACACACTACCTGACAACTGCCGATTACATCGCTGTATGGCTGCTGGCGGTTAGCGTGTTGAAGGGTTTGGTTGTTTTGCGGCTTAATTTGTGCTCGGTGTATGAAGGCTCGCAGGTTTTGGGTTCCAGGGCTGAGGAGTTTCTGGTGCAGGCTTACAGCCTACGAGTCTCAGGCTTCCGGGAGATAGAGCTTGGCAGACATTGCACCCGAAATCCTGAACCTAGATTCCCGTTGAGCTTTAGGGTCTAGGTAGGATTTGAGGGTGCTCTTCAGAGACGAGGACTAGAACAGGATCAGCAACAAAACCAAGAGCAAAGGACAGTTGTAGAAGTGGCGACAAGGCCAGATCCTATGGGCTTAGAAAGCGTCCTAGGAAGGCCTGAGCTGGGGTCGGAGATGTCAGGACTTCAGATCTTGCGGTTTAGGGTTTTTTTAGGGTTTAGTTAGGGTTTAGGTTGCAAGGCTTGTGTGGTGGGCCATGGCAGAAAACCCCGGGCCCAAACCGGCTTCGTAGCTCCCTCCTACGCCTGCACCCGCGCCCAAAAACCATTTCAATGGAGCGACCTAAGCCCATGCCCTAAACCCTAAACCTTAAACCTTAAAGCCCTAATCCCTAAACCAGCCTTTTGAAGCCACAGGAGCCGATGGTCTTGTGGTCTTGGCGCATGGGCTTCGTACAGGTTCCGGGCTTCGGGAATCCATCAGCTTTGATGTGCAGCGGAACGAGCCAGGACGTTGCATATCTCTCTTAAAGAGAGATACAATGTCCTGGCTCATTCCAGTGCACATCAGTTTACACTCATTCTACTTCGTGTGTGTGTGTGTGCGTGTCTATATAGGTGCTTGTTGTGGATCTGTGTGCATATGCAACCTCTTCAGCGTTCGAGCTGGTCCCTATCCTCGATGATGCGCATCATGCACTGCCGCATACGACGTAGTTATGACCCACACAAGCACACAGACGCGCATGTCACATGTCACATGTCTCAGGCTGAGTCTCTGAGAGAGAGAGAGATAGAGAGAGAGAGAGAGAGAGAGAGGGAGGAAGGGGTGCATGGATTTGCTTGTTGTGTTCCGACTGAGACGCAGAGCAGTGGGGACTTGGAGCTTCTATCAACTCCCCGGCGTAGATTAAAAATTGGGGTGTTTAAGAATATCGGGAGTTAGCCGTAGTTAGGGGTTTCCTGCAAAAAGGATCCTACTAGTTTGGGGTCTACATTGAGGTCCCTTGTTTTCCGAAAAGCCGTGCAGGCGGTGGCAACATGACGAGCGTGCGAAGCTCAGAGCTCTTTGCTGCCACCTTCCGCAGATGCGAGGATGGGTTTCTGGCAGTTTGCACGATGCAGATTCCTTGTATACTCCGAAAAGCGCGGCAGAAAGGGTATCGTTCACGATGTTCTCCTCGGGAGCTTGTCTTAAGCCAAGAGGAAGAATTTAGATCGCGCGCTTGGTTCGTGAACCTTCTCTGTTTGAACAGGCGACGGGAAATTGTAATGCTTGCCCTTTCCAGCAAGGTGTGCTTCAAGTGGAACCAGATTGGCAGCCGCTTGGACTCAACACCTTGGTTTCCTAATTCTAGGAGGGCTGGCAGATCTCTTTGATATACGTTTGTTTCAAAACGATGAAGTTACTGGAAACGAGCGCTGCTCTTTTGCTCCACGGTTTGCGCAGCCAGCATTCATGGTTTCATGGAATCCGTGATTATGATGTGTTGTGACAGTGTTGTGTGCTTTTTCGGCCACTTCCAGCCTAAGTTTCTGAAGCACAGGTGCAGGAGGGAGAGAGCGAGAGACGAGCTGGCTTTTCAGTGTGTCCAGGAGCAGGGGACCCTGAGCCGGTGTTGAAGGCATTTAGATGTTCAATCGCGAGATCCCGAAATCCCTCAAAAGCTGAAATACTCGACGGGTTTCAGTTCACCTTCAAGGACCCTCGGAATGTAGCAGCTCTGAAACTCCATGTCCCGAATGCGAGAGCATTCGAAGGCTATCGAATACGACGACCCCAAACCGAAACCGAAACAAATCCCTAAACCCTAAACTCTAATGTCGAAACCTCACCGGCAGAATACGCGGCTTCTCAGGTCACCCACGGGGCATTCAGGCCTTCTGCGACGTGCTGAAGGTTGCGAAGCAGCATTTTGCAGCCGAGCGTAGCCTTTGGGGTTCCACGGGGTTCCGGGCCCCAGGGCTTGAAGCGGGGGTGTAAGGGTTTAAGAGTTTAAGGGTTTAGGGTTTAGGGTTCAGAGTTTAAGGGTTTAGGGTTTCTGGTTCCGGGACCCAAACTGATCGAAGAGAGACAGAGACGAAACCATCTCACTGCTTGTAAGGAGAGAGTCTGAAATCTGAGAGCCTTAACCCGCCTTACCCTCACCGAGGAAAATCAGTCCATCACGCACGTCGATTTGCGGTCGCTGAGTCGCAGACGATTTCTGATCCTGCGGGCCTATTGCTACACTTAAACTTCGCCTTTGGGCTTCGGGTTTGGAGGTCACCAGAGGTTCTAGTCATGTCCGCGGCCTGTTTGTGCACCGAGGAATAACAAGATCGGCACAGATTGTGGGCCGTTCCTGGGCGACATGCTCCGGGAAAACTGCTCCTGGGTGGCATCACCAATTTTGATAGAAGCTAGTCTCATGCCTAAATTTGTTGGGCCTACCTCGATTATTACTTCAGGCAACCCCCACATCGAAGCCTCTCAGGCACCTTGACGCACCTCGACCTTAGTTGGAACGACCTCGGGGTGGAGGGCGGCAAGGCCCTCTTGGACGGCCTTCAGGCAGGTGACCCGTGTGTCAGAGCTTGCCGTTGGTCCCTCTTTGGAGAGCGAAAACCACGCGTGATCAGGATGATCGTGGTTGTGATGGTGATGATGATGATGGTGGTGGTGGTGTTGGTGGTAATGATGGTAAACGTGGTGATTGTGATAGGGACGACGATGCTTATGATTATGGTTACGATGGTTAGTAGTACTGGTGCTCACGTGTCTTTGGCTGTCAGACCCCGAGCCCTGATCATTCTTCACATGCACCTGCAGAGACTCCAGCGAATTCCTGTGTACTAAAAACCCAAGCTGATGAAACTTCACAGGAGGTGCAACCGGTGATGAATTTTGATGGTCTTTTTATTGCATCTCTGCTTCCGATGATTTGTACTTGCCGTCCAAATCTTCACCGACCTGAGTTATTGGCCCTGCACATGGAAGTATCGTTTTGTGTGTAGTGTAGTGCCCAGTGTGATCACTGATCACTGCTTGCCGTCAGTAGCGTATTTCAATCTACACAAGCTGAACCTGAAACCCCAAAACAAAGAGTCCGCATACCTTCGCGCTCAAGATGTCAAGATGTGTTGCAGCACAACATGATGCAACATGTACGGTCTGCAGCAAGAAGTGCAGGCTTGTTTTGTTTCTGTACGACTGGTACACTCCCATGTCTGTCCCACCGTCATTGTGCCTCATTCACTCAACCCTGGCATGCAGGTCTTGGAAACTAGAACGAGGTAAACTACAATCCCCAAATGCAAAGCAATAACTCTGGACCTCGGTCCCGAAAGCGAATCCCCTAGCAACCGCGCAGGCGAACCACTCACTGATCGATTGCCAGCTCAGCGGCAATCGTTTGGCCGAGGTCTCTTGGCGAACAGCTGGGGTTCGGGCTCAAGGTTCCGGACGAGCTTATATACAAGGCCTTGCATGGTCTTACATAAGTAGTAGTAGTACTAGGTCGTCGTCGCCGTGGCACGAACCATGAGTGGTAGTAGGGCAGGGCATATAATATGTGAGGTTGAGGTTTTGGGGGTTTAGGACTTCGGGTGTATATAAGGCTTGTTTGATGTAGTTTATGGTCCGCGTGTCGAGTGGTTTTTTTGGTGCCATCAGGTCCCGCAGCCTCGAGCACATAAATAGCCGCCATCGTTGTCATTCCCACCACCACCGCCATCACCACAGCATGCTCCTAAGCATCGCCACAGACACAACCGATGGTCATCCTCATCGACATGGTCGCAGTCGGCATAGTTGAGATTTGGCGCGAGCCTTATAAATCGGAGCTTGAACCGCGACCCCAAATATGCAAGCCCCTACACTTCACAAACACACGGAATCGCAGTCAAAGATGAGGTTTCAATCGGCAAATCGCTCAGCTAAATCTTGAATCCCACAAAGCATCAGAGTGTTGCAAGCCTGGTGTGCCGATGCAATTTTCGGAGGCCCACAGATCTTTGAAGCAGAAATCCTGGCGAAGAGCTCGAAGCCGCAACTGACCAACGCTGACGCACCAATCCCCAAAATTCATCAGGTCATTAGTTAGATTAGAACCTTCAAACTTAAGAAAGAACTTAAACCCTTAATCCAGAAAAACTGTGGAACCCTCAAACCTGTAAGCCAGACCCTACGAGACCCTCACATAGTTCTGAATAAGTAGTAAGCATCTCCTGGTGCAGTCCTTAAAGAACTTAGACAAGCGTACATGTACTACGAACTACAACACTCAGGCCCTAGATTATACTCCATGTTTCAACAGGATACCCTGCACGCCATTGCTTTCATCCTCCGAAGAAACCGGCAGACGGCGCCCATGGGAGCAAGGGCCTCAGTTCCCATGGAGCCACTTTCTTCGATCTTTGGGGTTAAAGGTTTTGGTCTTTAAATGCGAACCGCAACCAAGGAGAGATGCATCGCAAGAAGTATTCTAGCCAGACTCTGGTTTCAGCAACCGATCGCAGAAAAAGAACAAGAAAAGACCACAGCACACAGGTCTAGCATGGGCCAGTCTTCAGCCGTCGGACAAGTAAAATGCGAACCTCAACCAGACAATTGGTGTTTGCTCCACCCATGGCAGTGCTCAGGCGAGCACTTTCCGGCAGGAGCGTGCGATGTCACCTTCGCAGGACGTTCCGGTTTCATTTTCACCTTCACTGTCATACCTCAGCCACCGGCCTAAACCCAGCGAATGTAGGTGCCTTTAGCCCCTAAAGCGCACCCCAAAACATCGAGTTTGATGCTCCTGCGGTGTCTCCAGCAATGCCAATGCGTGCAACCTTCTGTAACCCTCGAACCTGTGATGTCTCGCCTGGAGTCAGTGAAGCTGCCATCAACACACGGTTGCTGGTCCGTAGTGGGGAACCAAAAAAACACCCTAACCTACATCCTGATAACATGGGGTTGTGTTGCCAGCCCGACGGGTGTGATTCCTGCCACGTCTGGGAAAGCTGCAGATGCCTGGACAGAAAGAAAACGACTACCAGTACCAGTGGTAAAAAAAGCACCGACATCAGCAGAGCTCATCCGGCATCCAGTAGGATCCGAAGTTGGGCTTCTGAAGACTTTTAAGGCCTTTGCAGCAAAAGGGGAGTACAAGCCTCTTAGCAGGAGCACCGGACTCGGTTTCTCCCAGCACCGAACTGGCGGAGACACCCAGGTACGAATCCCTCAGCTGCCCACCCCTGATCTAGACATTCTTGCTTTGTGATCCCGCACGCGGCAAAGAAAGCTTCGCAGCCGACAACCATTAAGCACCTTAAACTGATACACCCGGAACATGTAAACCCCTGCACCCAGAAAACCTATAAGCCGCCTTAAAACAAAAAACATCAAATTCTGCACCCAGAACCTATAAGCCGCCTTAAAACCAAATATCTGCACCCCCTTTCGAAGGATCCGGGCTCGCCCATGGCTTCGCCCATGTCCCCGATGTCGGCGCAGGCTCCCACCACGCCGGCCTCGCCAGGCGCCTCGCCTTCGACGACGTTTCGGATTCGGGAGGATTCCCAGAGAGCCGCTATAATTTAAGGAATATATACCTTAACAGGGCTCCTTAAAGGGATCCATAAGGGTTTCTTTCAGGGAACTTCGGAGTCGGGGTGGGATGGGGGGGTGGAGGGGGT